ATAGATATAAATATAGATCCACTTGTTGTTTTCTACTTATATTATTCTAATAGGTTCCACTATTCGTATACTTAATTTTATCACGTATACGATTCCGATAAGAGAAAACTCTTTGAAGAATTTTCTTTAATAGATTGCAACATATTAAAAAGGTTTTTATATTGTACAGTACCAAATTGTATACGAATATTTAAAGTTACGATATTATTTACTACTGTTCCTAAGTCATATGCTAATTCTAGATAATTGTACTATATTTAATTGTTATACTTAATCCCAATCATAGAAGCTCTTAAAAATGAAAAGCTCGATTTATGACCACTGTGACAGTGTCACCCTTTAAATATCTGTTAACCCAGCTCTTACCCCGATAATTGTCTGCCCGTCTGGATGTTATTGCTCACGTTCTCATTCTCTCAGGTGCACGCTACGCTTCAGTGGTGCAGTCATTTTGGCCCCTTGTGCACTCTACTTTTTAGCCAGGATAAACAGTTTGTGTTGGTACTGGTACACTAAAAGAAAAATCGATAAGTCATTTTAAATGAATATTCATAATATTCAGGGTGTTCCAAAAACCTTTTATAACCTAAAGTCGAGTTTTGAAACTTTCAGGAAATAAAATTGATCATGATGAATACTAATTGTTCAAAACGCCAGCAAAAATTTTCAAATATTTTAAAATTGGCTGACTCTTCAATTATTATAGTTTTCTGTTACTGAACAATCATTTTTATGTCTGCAATATGACCTATTAATTAATTAAAATCAGAACCTATTTATTATAATTTTGTTACTTATTATTTTATCACTTTAAAGGTGTAAAATATAATCTTTAAAATAATTAAATGCAGAAAATATTCAAATAAGTATTGTTTCATATTACAAAATATTATAACGATTTGGAAGCAGGAGTCTGACGATTTCATTAGCCTGGCCCGAACTTACATAAGGCCGAAACAGGAGCGGCAGGAAGAAGATGTCTCAACCTCGATGGCGATGACTTTTACTGTCGTTGGAGGTTCAAGTATATGTTTATGTATATACATATACACTATATATATGCTTTTGTGAGTCGGCGTCGTCTGATTTGTTCGGTGAAAGGGAAAGGTTATTAGACTCGCCCCGTGCAGAATTTTAAATGGTGGGGGTCCAGACATTGGCTGCTCCTTATTGTTATAATAACCTTTCGGTTTTCTGTTTTCACTGTCGACGGAAGTGGGCGTCGGCGGCAGCAGGTGCCGGTGGGCGGGGCAGTGCAATGACAGCGGTCGACGTCGGTCCTCGGTCCTCGGTCCTTGTTGGTCCTCGTGCGGGGGGATTACGAAAGGTCCACCCCCCACCTCTCTTTGGCCGGACGACGAACTCTCGGCCGAGTCACAGGCTCAGTTTTTGCCAGGATTTCTCGCTTTTTTCGGGATATTTCGGGCGTTGACTCGTCCTGCCAGCGTCGGCAAATGGCGGCCTCAGTTGAATGCACTCAACGAGGTCACAGGACATCGGCCAAACAGGCTCTCGGTCAAAGTCACATGCCCACTTGACCCCAGACCGATAATCGCAGTTAAATTTCATTAAGTCCCAGATACGTAAGTATTCATGTGATTAATGAAAATAGAATTTGAAGGATACTTTGCAGGCCGTTCGCATTTTTAAGGGGGGTGAAAAGAAGGACTTGAGAATGCCAAGAGTCAATGGTTTTTCGGGGTCAATTGAATGACGGCTGATGAAATAAATGTGTAAATCTCTTGAGCAAACCATATACCATTTGACATAAGAATCTAACCAAATACACATCAGTCTGAAAATAAGAAAGAAAAACATAGAATAATTAAATATTAAGTAGATATATACTGCTAACTAACGAAAGCCCGATTTTTTTTGGTATTATTATTTTTGTTGGCTTCTTTCTAAACTGGCTAATGACTCAAAATAATAAAATCACGAATACATGGTATAGTTATAAACGAAACTATTAAATTAGGTTTTATCAAGATTAGATTCTACCAAATTGAAGTCTTTATCGCACAAGATGAAATACTTATCTAACAAAACTACCAACTGGGTAATCAAATCAGTTATATAGTTGTTGTAGGTCAGTTACCAGTTTGTCGATAACAGCCAATGCAAATAAAAACGTTAGTCCAAAAAGATCTAAACATTTGTGAAGAACATGCAAATTATTTAGAAAAATCCACACTTTAACTAATAATTATCTTCAGTATAAATTAAAATATCAATTCAAATAAAATATAAATTTTATTTTTCTGTGTAGACAATAGGTAATTTTTCACATTTTGTTAACTAAAATAAACGACTGACTAATCAAAGTCAGTTAATTGGTCAATTGATAACATGTTTTGTAGGTCAGTTACCGGATGGTAGATATCGCTTTTCGTTTAAGAATTTTCCTTTTCACAATTGGCGTCTCACAGTCCGTCCACGCTTATTAACATTTTCCGCAAAAAGTTTCTCCATCCTACTCAGGTTTCCCTCGGCGAGATGCAAAATATTTTCGAGAAGAGAAAATGCCAATGGAAAATTCGCCAAAGATTTTATGAGGTCAAAACTCATTACAAGCTGCGGCGGCGGGATGCTGATGTTGCATAGTGTACACTGTGCACAGTACAAACACGTTAGCCCCAATTCGGCGAGTGGGAAAAAGAAAAGCTGCAGCAAACGGCCCATGACAGTTGCAGTTGCAACTTTCTAATGCGGCAACAGCAAAATCGCAACATCGCAAACGGATGTGGATCGCGGCGACTCCAAGAGCAGCAAGGCAACGTGGCAGCGTTATGTGTGCCAAGATGCACTGCAGCAACATCTAGCAGCGACCAGAAAGCAAGAAAATCGAATTTCTCCACCACTGCTGCTTTCCACTGCAAATTACTTAACTATTTTCCCAGTTTTCGCTTTGTCGTGCAATTTGCGAACAGTTGTTGCATGTTGTTGCATATTAGCGGCAGTGAAAAGTTGGTCATGACAATCAAATGGCCAACACCGTGTGTATTCGAGGGGCGAAGGGGTCTTAGCTGGCTTTTCTTCTCTCTTCTTGTACACATACATATACTATATTTTTAGCTCGGCCTGTGGGTGCCCACTGATGCATTCCGCCTGCAGCAAACTGTAATTTAGGTGGGCCTATAGGGTCCCAGTGCAAGCCCCTTCCTAACCTTTGCAGTCCTCCAGTTGGCACGACTTTCAGGGAGAGAGTGCCGCCGAGGAGGACCACTTAGTCACAGGGATGACTAACCGACTGGTAGTCGTTATCCTACCTTGTTCTACCCTAAATTCCCAGTGTGAGTCAGGTCGGTCCTTACCACAAACATAAGTTCTTTACCTTCCTTTGGGCCAAGCCATCGGTCCTCATTTAGCGATCTTCAATGGGGGAGAAAGACATGTTTCTAACTTGGAGAATATATGCATTACTTGCATTTACAAATATGTATGCACAGAAAAAAATTTGTAAATATGTATAATAAAATATAATAAATTATATTGTAGTATAATATCATTTTTACTAAGACCAGGTTTTTGTAAAAGACTAAAAAATATATTAAAAATTTAAATAAAATGTACAATATCTCGCTTTGACTATATTGAATTTCATTCATTAATTAAAATAAATTTTTTTTAATTGACATTAACCGCTTACGGTGACACAGAAATCTCTTTTAACCAAATTGATTGAAATTTTTGTAAATTATTATAATGTACATACATTCCAAGCGAATTTGGTTGGAAAAATTTTCGGTGTCACCCACAGTTTAGATTAGGCCCAATAGACCTAAACAAACTTTAAAACAAATCTAGAAGTAATAGAAAGTGGGCTTAAATGTGGTTGTTGTAATAAAATATATACATATAATTATTTTTTAAGTCTTACCATCTCCTCACAGTGAAACCATAGGCGAATATCTTGGTTTAAAATCCTGACAAATCCGCTTAAGCTTTTGACTAGCTGGTGAAAATAAAATGCTGATGGCATTTAATCAGTTTTAATTGTTGGCGGGTACTTAATAAAAAGCCCGCCGCTTTTCTGGGATTAAGACTTTCCTTGAGGTGAGATTGGAGTACCGTTAGACCCTTAATTAGAAACCAGTTAACTGATCTATTAGCGCTTTTCTTTCCACCCATTCTATTTATTTTTTTTGTCAGCTTGTTTTCGTTTGTCTTGTGGGTTGGCTGATGGGGAATGAGATCGAGCGATCGAGATCGAGATCACCGTGCCCCAGTGATCTAATAAACGCCGCATTGTCATTCGCTCCGCTTGGCAAACTTCGTTTGTCACTCAATGCTCAGAGCCCCGAAACTGGGGCACATTCATTAATTTATCGCATGCAAAACAATCCGCAAATATCTAATGCCGCTGCAGCAGTTGCAGTCGACACACAAAAAAATAGAAAGTTTTTCGCCAATCGCCGACGGATGAGTGCCGACTGCCTGCTGCAATTTTCTCTTTGCAATTTGATTAAATAAAATATTGTGTAAAAGCGACGCCGGCAGAGCAACTTTCCAACTGCAAACTGCAGTTTCGAGCCACGACTTCTAAGTCGGTTACTAGATGCAATAATAATTGCATTTGTCCCACTTTACTTTCACTTGGCGAACGAGCAGCGAGCCACAAGCAACAAGCAACAGGCAACTAGCAACAGCCCACCAGCAACCAACAACCAGCAACTAGCAACAAAAAGCCGCAGCGCAGGCGTCGACTTTGACTTTGTGTGCCTGTTGCAGCTTTTCCATCTGTCCAAGTGTGTGTGTGTTGCATGAAAAGTTGCAACTTTTTCCAGTCGCTTGGTGGAAATTGTTTGCCGTTTGGTTGACTGGCAAAAAGGAAAAGTGGGTCAAGCGCACCATTGTTGTTGATGCTGCTTGTTACTTGTTGCATGCCCCCACTTAATTGACAATGGCCTGCCACACACATTATACGTTTGCCACTTTGGCATTTGATTTATGAAACTGGGTTACCGCTGCTTTCCTTTTTCTCGGTTCGATTTTTATGGTTTTTGCGTTAACATTTCGTCAATTTATTCACTATTATTTAAAGATCTTTATATATTACTCAATAGTACAGCATGGTTTAATCTTAAACATATGTACGTTTCCTTTTTACATTGCCTTCAATATACTGTTGTTGTTTGCTGTACATAAAAAAATTACATTTTAAATCCAGGGTTTTTTTGTGTTTTTGTTTTTTCACAAACTCAATTTGCCAATTTTGGTTTTGATCGAGTCTGTGCCTAATATTTACAATGATTTTGAATTTTGTAGCGTACTATATGCTCTTGTTTTTCCTCCGCTTTCCTGTTTTTTTTTGGCATCGAAACAATAAATAAAGTATAGAAAGATTAAATATTTAAGTTAAGCAAGAGGGTGTATGTTTGTAAGAGAATTAACCTAAACTAAAAAGTTTCGTTCTGGCCAAAATGGGGAAACGAACTCAACACAAAGTCGGAGGACATTTTCCTGGTCTGGTTTTTTCTTTTCTGTAAAGATTGGAAATGATACTAGATTGAAAGTTCAAACAAACTATCGGGGTGACTTGGTCAACAACAGAGTATACACAAATTTTAATAAAAAGTAATAGGAATAGGTTGGTTATCGTCGATGCAGGATGTTGGATAGGGCGCGTATCTGCTTCTGGAGCTCGGAGTCCATGCGGTACGCCTCCTCCTCGAAGATCAGTCGCATCTCCTGCAGCGCGGGCAGCTTGTCCGCTTCCATGTTGAGCAGTTCGCCGAAGAACTTGGTCCACACATGCTTTTTGAGGTAGCGCGGCAGCTTCTGCCGGATTTCCCAGCTGGAGCCCTTCTTCTGCGGCTGCATGTAGTCGCCGAAGAGCATTACATGAACGGTGGCCGCGATGCAAAAGAGATCTGTTTCGTAGGACCAACTGCGTCCCTCCTGCATCTCAATGCAAGTGAAGCCGTCCGTTTGCACCACTTTGCGGAACTTGGTGCGCTCCGCATCCGGAAACAGGGTCATATCGATGGCGCATCCGAAGTCAATCAGTCGCAGCGAAGGCAGTACACTGTCCACATTGGGCACCCGCATCAGCAGGAAGTTGTCCGGCTTGATGTCCGCATGAATGATGTGCTGGCGGTGCAGGTGGTCCACGATGTTGCAGATCTGCGCCGAGAAATGCATCACGAGCGACTCGTGCATCACCTTGGTGGTGGCCTGCCGGATCTTGTTGTTGATGTCCAGCAGCGATCCAAACGGCGAGAACTCGGTGGCTATTAGGCTAGCATTTGGGGCGATAATCGCCGTGGAAATGTCCATCAGGCCGGGCAACACCTCCGGCTCCCTGATGCGTTTAAGCACCTACAAATAAAGAATATGGTTTAATTTTAAAACTATTGTGTTAGCTTTTGGTTAATTGTAAATTAATCTGGCCATCTCTCTGTTCAAGTCAATATCACATATTATGATTATAAATAAACAAATAAAATACCCTTTTAATACAACATTTTGAAGATTGTTTTAAAATAAAATTTAAAGTGCCCATTAAATTCGAAAAAAGGTTAAAATTCTAAAAACAGATCCTCACCTGATCACATATGTAGATCTCCCAGGTGTTTGGGGGCTTCTGATACTTGAGCGCCACCACATTGCCGGTGCGCGAGTCAGTAGCCTTGTAAACCGAGCCGTATGACCCGCGACCCACCTCCTTGTCAATGTTGAAGGTGACGCCTTCGAGGACGTTCAGCGTGCGCGTGTTGGATATTTTTGGCAGTGCCGTTTGCACAATCTTGTAGCTGGCATGGGCATCGTGATCGCCCGGAAAGTCCAGCTTGGCGAGGAAGGCGCGGCATAGTTCGCTGTTGAAGGGATCGATGGCCTCCTTGGCCAAATGTCGCGCAATCGTTTCCACGGCCTTCGATAGCCGCCGTTCCTGAGCCTCCGTATCGTGCTGGGTGGCAAAGTACGAGTTCTCCTGGAATGTGGAGAAATCGGCCAGTGTGGTGGTATTGCCATTGTTATTGTTGCTGGTGTTATTGTTGTTGTTGTGCGTTTGTATGGTCTTATTGACCGGATGGAGGATTTGTTGCTGCGATGAGTCACGGAAGTTGAGTCTATCGACGGCCAAAGCGAGCGAGCTATTTGAATTATCCAGAGCGGTGGCGCTGGAGAACGAGAAGTTTGCATTATCGTTGAATGCTCCCGGCGCCCCTGCAGCCACACTACTCGAGCTGGCCGTCGCCACATCCGCCGCCGACGAGGCCGAGTTGCTGTTGCTGCAGAGATCCGGCTGGAACTTGCTGCGCTTGACTTTGGTGCGAGCCCTTCGATAGCCATTAACCTCGCTCTTGGGCGTCGAGGTCTGGCCCAGCATGTAGGGATGGAAGTGGTGGTGCCCACCGTTGCGCTGACGCTGGATGGGAATCGGAGAAGCGGGCGCAGGCTCTGGCGGCGGAGGATGATGAACTGCTTGCGGTGGCTGCTGCTGGATTATCTGATGTTGCTGATGCTGCTGCTGTTGATGCTGTTGTTGCTGCTGGTAGACGTTCTCTATGGTATAGGCACTGTAGGTGCTGCTGGGCTCCTTCTTGAACTTGATCTTTATTGAGCGGTTCTCCTGCTCGAAAGTGGTTTGCGCACTGAACTGCACGCCATTGGTGTAGGGTTCGCTGGGCTCCTCCTCCTCCTCGTCTTCGTCCTCCTCATCGGAGTCGTCTTCCTCATTATCTCCTGCGCCTTCTTCATCCTCCTCCTCACCTTCCTCCGCCTCGTTATCCTCATCCTCCTCGCCCGTATTCTCCTGTCCACTGCTGTTGTTCTGCCCGTAAAGAGCTCCATCCACAGCAGTCATGTAGTATGATGTCTGCGACTCGTAGGAATCATAAAGAGTTTGCTGTTGCTGTTCAGTCGGCTCCGCTGGCTTGGCCTTCTGCTCCATCAGCTGCTTGAACTTGCGGGCTAGTATCTCTTCGGGACTGTACTCGATGCCTGCTCCCGGAGGATAAACCAACTGCTTGGCGTAGTGACAGACCCTGGAGGGATCATCTGGCTCTTCAAGGGTCAAAGCTGGCTTCCAGGTCTCATGGTTGTTGCGCCCGTACGCGTGGAAATTGCGCGGCAAACGCAGGCCAGCTACTTCGCTTGTCGCCGGTGGATTTTGTTGAGGAGAAGGATTGCCATTGCCATTTTGTTGCTGCTGGTGTTGCGGCGGATTTTGCTGCGGTGCTGCAGGCTGTGGTGGCGGTAACTGTTGCTGCTGGGCTGGTGCATAGTGGGGCTAAAAGGCAAGTAGGGAAATTAACGGAATAGTTTTTGAAAATGTACTTGTAATGCTTACCTCTGCCACAGGAGCATATTGCGGTTGGTGCTGGACGTGGGCTGCCGGCTGAGTCGCCGGATGTGGCTCATAGCGTGGCTGCTGTTGGTAGTGTGGTTGATAGGCCAACTGTTGTTCTGGCGGCTGTTGTTGCTGTGGCGCCGCCGGATGTTGCTGTGTGGCTTGATGTTGCTGCGCCTGCGGATGATATTGCTGATAGACATTCTGCTGATATGGCTGGGGACGGTGTTGTGGGTAGCTCTGCGGCAACTGCTGCTGCGTGTAGTTGGTTAGTTGCTGCAGCGGATCCGGCTGGGTATGCTGCTGTTGTTGCTGCTGCTGCTGTAGTTGCTGCTGCTGTTGTTGCTGCTGCTGTTGTTGCTGCTGCTGCTGCTGCTGTTGTTGTTGCTGTTGCTGCTGTTGTTGCTGCTGCTGTTGTCGCTGGTGGAACAGGGACCTGGCATAGGTGAACTTGGTGTGAGCGTGCTGCAGCTCCGAATTGCTCTGCGCCTTCTCCTGGAAGGCCAAGTTGAAGACCGCCTCCGCATCCTTGAACTCCTCGCGCGATTCGTAGTAGGCAGCCCAGCCAATGTAGAAGGCGGCCACCTGACGACCGGTTCCACGCTGGAAGAGCACCTGGTAGAAGTGCAGCGGATCCGTCTGCATGGCTATGTACTTCAGCCACAGCCGCACCAAACGGGGATCCTGGCGATAGAAGTCATTGTGCTCGTAGACCGTCAGACACCGTTCCAGTGTTTCTCGGAACTTTAGCTCCGGATCGCTGTGCGCATGATTCTCGTACCAGCAGATGTAGTTGTACCAATGATCGAGGGGATCCTGGCCCTGGTACAGGGAGATGGCGTGCTCCCACGCCTGCTTGTCCTTCAGAAAGCCGTGCATCTCGTCGGGACTGGCCAGCGGCGGTGCTCCAGCTGCTACGGCTCCTGCTCCTCCGGATCCCGATCCCTGGCGCATGTACGAGTGCATGGCCATCTCAGCCGGACGGGGAATCCCCTGATCCCGCCGTGCCGTGATGCAAACAAATGGAGGCGGGTCCCTCTGCGGTTTCTTTGGCCCACTCGGAAGTCTCGGATTTCGATGGGATGTGCTGCCTGGCGATTGTACTGGATTTGGGTGCACCAACTCAGTTAAACCCGCGTCTTCGAACGCTGGCACCGGTGGCACATGATTTTTGTGTACGTTTTCCACTTGCTGGCTACGATCAAAGATATTTTATATTTTTTCCTATTTTTTAGCTTGGAAATGGAATTTATTAGTGCTGCAAAACAATCGATAGCACTATCGTCTGCGCGCTGTTGGCGATGACTAGCGAAGGTGGCTATCGATAGTGCGATAGAAACGTGTTATTGTATTTTTTAGGCTTAACAATTGTAGTAAAAAATAATTTTACATGCATATGTGCTTGAAATTTAATTTTGGACCTACTAGTGTGTGGTTGAATTCGAATATTTTGATTGGTGCACTGCTTGATACACGCTGTAAGCAAGCAGTTAAAGTGTAACACTTTCCAACACTTAACTGTTACAAGACATGACCAAATTCAAAATTATACAAATTTGATTTGATTTTAAAAGTCTTGAAACTTAGAATTGTTTTGGGAAAGAGTTTGAAAAGTACAATTAATAAATTAAATAAAAAAAAACTACCCACATTCGCTACTCGATAACTAATTACCGATTTGCGCATCAGTAAAATAAGTTTACGATAGTTCCATCGCTACCAGAAGTTCGCTTACTGCCCACCAGAGGCGCCACCGTGCTCTTACTGCATTATTGTTTTTTTTTATCAACTCGTCAAAAATTACGCTATCCCCAAAAAACCGCAAAAGCGCGAGTGTTTATGTTTTACGTTCCCAAGTGCATATCATGGATTAGTAGTATTAGTAGCCCCGCCATCGCCCTGCAGTCCAATAACACGCGATATTCCCCCACCCACGCACGTAGATTTTTGTTTTCGACCCCTGACTGCGTCCGTGGATTTTCCCCAAAAAGAAAAAAGAAGAGCATCGACACCTCTATCGATTTGACCGGCTGCAAACTGAATCCCCCAGGATACGGATAATGGAGGTATCCGCCGATCCGTACGAGCAGAAGCTCTACCAAATGTTCCGCAGCTGTGAGACGCAATGCGGCCTGCTGGACGAGAAGTCCCTGCTGAAACTCTGCTCCCTGCTGGAACTCCGTGATCAAGGATCCGCCCTGATCGCCAGTCTGGGCGGCAGCCACCAACTGGGCGTGTCCTTCGGCCAGTTCAAGGAGGCCCTGCTCAACTTCCTCGGCTCGGAGTTCGATGGCACGACGTCATCGGGATTTATGGGTGAGATAATATTGGAAGACGGGAGGCGAAGTTGGGAATACCCTATAGTTTATAAGCTAGCCAGGCAAGTTCTCATAAAACAATATCAAACGGCTATCTCTAATTGTGGTTTAATTGCCCCTCAAGCAACATCAGATAATTACAGATTACAGTTATTAAAGATAGTAATTCAATTTTGACAGGGAGTGGGAATCGAAAAAGACCCCCCCTTTGGCCAAAATATTTTCAGATATAGTTTCTATCAGAACGTATAGAGATCATATATTTACAAAACAAAACCATTGACTTATAATTTAATTTGGAAATTTCACTTATTTCTAAAAAAGGTATAAAAGAAAATAATATAAATTTGTCTGAATTTTAATTAAGGAAATTACAATCGTATGTGAGAGTCAATTAATGTTTACATCTTGTTCAATGTTTGAAATAGAAATTGTTATTATATATGGGCAATATCACAATGTATAATACGTTACTATTTTTCAATATTAATAAAGGAAAAAGTACAATTTTAATATCATTCTGAGTAAATTAAAAACAAACTTATACGAGAAATGACAAAAATTCAATTGACTTTAATAAGTTCTTATTTGCATCATCAAATCTTATTTGCATCATCAATCTTTCAAACAAAGATTATATTAATAGATTGTATTCAATTAAATGGTAGTCATAATTAGGAATATTATTACTAGACTAAAATAATAAAATGGCTTGAAATGTAAAAGAGATACGGTGATCTAAACCTTTATTCTTATAGAATCTATATATGTACATATAACATAATGTACTCTGCCCAAAAATATTAGTTCTAATTTGCATAAGGAGGCACAGTTGTGCTTGTCAAGGATACAAATTTACGAAACGGTTTTCTTATCTGCTTTAAACATTTTAAAGTGAAAAAAGGATACGTTAGGGTACGAATTTTATAATCAGTTTGCGGATTAGCGATCCGGCAGCTGACGGTCATAAAAATAAAGATGCAATTGCTAATTTTTTAGGGCCCACCATTGCTGCCGTCGACTACCTGATCACAACAGGTAGCCGTGTGGTCCTGCATAAATATGCCACTCATTCAGTTGGGCGGTTCAGTCTCAATCGAAATGGGAACGCGCTTGTATTACCGCCAATCTGGCGGACAGATAACCGATCCGGTCATTGAGAAGTTAGCCGCTCGATTCGGTAGCCACCTAAGATCCATACAACTCCTTCAATACTCTACTAACCTATATTTGTCTAATCTTGCAGAGCGTTCGCTGGTGATCACGGATGAGCCCTTGGCCAGCACATATATTGAGAGTCCGCCGGAGTCCTCCGATCGTGAAGTGTCACCCAAACTCATTGTGGGCTCCAAGAAATACGGACGCCGGTCCAGGCCGCACCAGGGAATCTACGAGTTGTCCGTCACGGACTCGGACAACACGGATGAGGATCAGCTGCAGCAGCAGCAGAAGCAGCGGAGTCTCAACGGCTGCGATGAGCTGGGAGTTCAGGTGAGTGGCGATCATTAAGTCACGTACAAAGTGGCTACACAACTTCTGGCTTTGCCAGCAAAACCTGCAAAGTCAACTGATTTTTTTCTGAATCGAAATTACTTAACGCTGGTACAGTAGAAAGTGACTAAGTTGCTTAATATTTAAATGTAGGTTTACGATTTGAATTTTTACTTTCGTTTATGCCTATGCTTGGCGTTTGTTGGTTAAATAAAATATTCACAATAGAACCATTCAAAGCAATTTCAGAACGGGTTTCTTTATTACAATTTAATTTACCTGTCTCTAGAACTTATTCATTTTTATCTAAGAATTATTATTCAAGAGCGAAATACAACACATCTTAGTGTCTTAAAATACTTTATAGCATTTTGTAATCGTTTTGTTTGTATAAAATACCAACAAAAAGTGAGATTCTTTGTACATTATGTACAAAAATATAAAAAACTAAAGATCATATCGGCTATTTACAGGTTCAGCGTTCGTCGTCTCAGAGCGATCTTCCTGGCAGTCGGCGTATGCGATCCGTCCACACCAGCGGGAGCAAACTGAAGAGGTGCGCTTCGCTGCCGGCGCGAAGGATTCTTCACTCCAAGATGCACAACACCTCCACGGGAGCGGCTACGTCGCCGACTGCCGCCTCCAAGCTAAAGCAGCTGTCCATCCAGAGCCAGACGCAGCACAACAGCAGCGTGGAATCCCTGGGTAAGTTAACACCGACCAGCAACCATTCCGGTTCCCAGTTTAGCTGCCCCCTTTGCCCCTGCCACCCTCTGTTGTTGTTGTTAGCCCCAAATGCCAAAATTACGTTTGAAGCAATTAAAAAAGTAAAACACTTGTTGTCGGTACACACCGCAGGCCATCACCTGGCCGCCAATTCCGCACCGTCGTCCGAGCACCGGAGATGCTACAACGGCGGCCGTTGGTCATGTTGCAAAGGTTTGTGCGCTCTCGAGCATTGTCAACACCCCCACACCCACCGAAACCCCACCCCCGTCATTCGGTATCTAATCGCACCCTATGTAGCCGCACACTTGATTCGTTTTACTATACGTATAATCACATATCCCAAATTACCTACCTCTTTTCAAGCTGGAAATCATTGAGGACAAAAATAAATTCAAATAAATTCAAAGTTGTTAATTAATGAGATTCAATTTAACATTTACAACAATTATTTTTCAAACCTATTTTGAATTCGTTCCTTTATCTTTTCTTTTGGTAGATTTATTATTAAAATAAAGGAATTTCTGTTGATTATTTTCTATATCGATTAGTCCCAAACTAAATCTTAATTACAAAAATAATAATATGAAGTGTTAAAGAATAAATTTACTGAAGTATTTAAAACCAATGCAAGCAATATTGGTTTTAAATTATTCAGTAAATAAATATTTATCAATAATTTGGTATACTATTACCCAATATTTTCAATTCTTTAACAGATACAAAAATAAGATTTAGGTTAATTGATAAAGAGAAACAGCAAACTTTCGGCGCTTTCGCTTCCACCATCGACATCCACACCCATTCCATTCCCAATCCCACACCCACACCCACCTGGTATCTCGGGCTATATAATTTAAATGTGTATATACCACAGCGAACTGAATATTATCCGTCCCCCGCTAATTGCTAATTGACATGATTTGCAGACACCGTGACGCCCCAGCAGCTGGAGACGATCTCTGTGCACAGCATCATCGAAGCCTGGGAGCTGGCCAGCATTCCCAGCAGTCGCACCCTGCTCCATATCCTCGGATTCGACGAGGAGGAGGAGGTGAACCTGCAGCAGCTCACCAAGGCGCTGGAGGAGGAGTTGCGTGGTCTCGAAGGAGATCAGGAACAGTCGAATATGCTGCGTGCTTTGGCTGCGCTGCAGGCCACCGAACTGGGTAACTACCGCCTAGCCTATCGGCAGCAGCACGAGGAGAACCTCAAGCTGAGGGCCGACAACAAGGCGGCGAACCAAAGGGTGACTTTGCTGGCCGTGGAAGTGGATGAGCGGCATGCCTCGCTGGAGGACAGCTCGAAGAAGCAGGTGCAGCAGCTGGAGCAACGGCACGCCAGCATGGTGAGGGAAATCACCCTGCGGATGAGCAACGATCGCGATCACTGGACCACAATGACGGGCAAACTCGAGGCACAGCTAAAATCCTTAGAGCAGGAGGAGATCCGCCTTAAAACAGAACTCGAGCTGGTGCGCACAGAGAACTCCGAGTTGGAGACGGAACAGCAGAAGGCGCACATCCAACTCACAGAACTTCTCGAGCAGAACATAAAGCTCAACCAGGAACTGGCCCAAAGGTCGAGTAGCATCGGTGGTACTCCGGAGCACAGTCCACTGCGGCCGAGAAGGCACAGCGAGGACAAGGAGGAGGAAATGCTGCAGCTGATGGAAAAACTGGCCGCCCTGCAAATGGAGAACGCCCAGCTGCGTGACAAGACTGACGAACTGACCATCGAAATCGAGAGCTTAAACGTCGAGCTGATCCGTTCGAAAACCAAGGGCAAGAAGCAGGAAAAGCAGGAGAAACAGGAGGAACAGGAGGCGGCTGCCACGGCCACCAAAAGGCGGGGCGATTCGCCCAGCAAAACACATCTCACAGAGGAGAGCCCGCGTCTGGGAAAGCAGCGCAAGTGCACCGAGGGCGAGCAGAGTGATGCCAGCAATAGCGGCGATTGGTTGGCTCTGAACTCGGAGCTCCAAAGAAGCCAAAGCCAGGATGAGGAGTTAAGCAACCTCAAGCAGCGGGTGGCGGAATTGGAGAAGGAACTCAAGGAAGCCAAGGAGGGCAGATCTCTCACTCCGGAAAGCCGCTCCAAAGAGCTGGAGGCCAGTCTGGAACAAATGCAGCGCGCCTACGAAGATTGCGAGGATTACTGGCAATCGAAACTCAGCGACGAGCGGCAAATGTTCGAGAAGGAGCGCCAAATCTACGAGGATGAGCAGCACGAGAGCGACAAGAAGTTCACCGAGCTGATGGAGAAGGTGCGCGAGTACGAGGAGCAGTTCAGCAAGGATGGCCGCCTGTCGCCCATTGATGAGCGAGATATGCTGGAACAGCAGTACACCGAACTAGAGGCAGAGGCGGCCCAACTGCGCTCGAGTTCCATTCAAATGCTCGAGGAGAAGGCTCAGGAAATTGGTTCGCTGCAATCAGAGATCGAGGACCTGCGTCAAAGATTGGGTGAGAGTGTGGAGATTCTCACGGGCGCATGCGAACTCACCTCCGAATCGGTGGCCCAGTTGAGTGCCGAGGCGGGCAAGAGTCCTGCCAGCTCGCCCATCAGCTACCTCTGGCTGCAGAGCACCATCCAGGAGCCAGCGAAATCCTTCGCTGACACCAGAGATGAGGCCACCGCCAGTGCCATCGAACTGCTGGGAGGCTCACCATCGCACAAGACAGCCAGCCGGTGAGTATCTCAAGCCTCTCTGTGTGTCCATGGTGTGTGCATCCCCTGTGTGTCCTTCATTAACGTCACCGTTTGTCCTGTATATATATGTTTTGATTTTGTCCCTCACATCTAACCATGTCCTGTTTAAGCTAATATAGTCTTTAAGTGTATGTTTGTGCTTGTTCAATAAATATAATTTTTAATACATACAGAAATGCATACAAATTTTGAGTTCATAAAACCATGATTTATCGATTATTTATAATTTTAATAAAAATCACAAAGATAGTTTCTGGTTTTCAGAGTCGGAAACTTAGATTTTATAATTTCGCTGATCTTTTATTCGTACTTGGCTCGGCTTTTTTGAATACCACGATCGAAATTAAATTCATCAAAATCTGTAACAAATAATCTTTAACTGGTCTAATAAAATAGGCTAGCTTGAATTACTTGATTTTGGGTCCATTATTTGCAATATGATTATAGAGGAGGTTTATTTCACTTTTTATCTAAATTGAATAACTATAAACTTAATTTTTTAATGGTTATAATTCATAATTTAAAAATTTACCACCGAAAAACTAAATATGTTTATCAATACCAAAAAGAAAATAGAGTTCTTTTTTTGTTAAGCCGAATTCCCACCTAATAGAAATAATGTTCTTAAAAACGTTATCCATATATGATATGGTATCTTATTGCTTTGTTCGAACAGCAATAACCTCACCACTTCGGAGACTTCCATCTTCAGCACCACACCATTCGACAGCTCTCCTTCGGGCCCTTCGCCCACTAATAGTGGCACCACAAATGCGCCCTCCGGTCCGGCTCCCATCGGCAAACCCAAGCGGGCCCAAAGTCCCCAGCAGGTTCCATCGGAGGGGGAGATCGCCGACTGTGAGACCTCGTCGACGGCATCCAACAAGAGCTTCGAATCCACCAGTAAAACGTCTTGCCTTAGCCACGAGAAGTGCAGCAGTCCTTCGGCACTCAAGGAGGAATTAAAGCGTCTCAAGTTCTTCGAGCTGTCCCTCAAGGAGCAGATCAAGGACTTGAGTCTGCAAAGGGACGGTTTGGTTATGGAACTGCACCAGTTGCAGGAGGCGCGACCCGTTCTCGAGAAAGCCTATGCGGTGAGCTAAAGATTATATTAATTGCCGAGTTCATCTTAATTCATATGTTATGTTTACCCTCAGCGAACGACGCACCCAACGCTTCAGCAGCGACTGAACCAATTGGAGCTGCGGAATCGCCATCTGCAGAATGTCATCAAGCAGCAGCAGCAATACACCGAGTCCCTGATGCAGCGTAAGTATATGAATATATGTATTGAAGAAAGATTCTAAGCTATGTGTATATCCCCTCCAGAATCCTGGCGTCAGCATCAAGTGGAGCTCAACGATCTGCATAGCCGAATCGAAACCCAGGGGGCTATGCTGGCCGATCAGACACAGCGTCTGCAGAATGCCGACATCCTGGTGAAGGACCTGTACGTGGAGAACTCTCATCTGACCGCCACAGTGCAGCGGCTGGAGCAGCAGCGGGCGCGGGTGAACCTGATTCACCAGCAGCAGCAGCAACAGCAGCGACTTGTGGGCGGCGGACTGCCCGGCATGCCTTAGTTTGCCCCCGCCGGCAAACGGATATAGTTTATAGTTGAAAAAAAAGACAACCTGAGGGGGTGCTCAGCATCAGCAGACATCGAACATGCACCAATATATCGTTATGAATGTTTAGACCATATACAACACTCGGTAGATTAAGTTTGCATACTCGTCGTTTTTGTGAATGAATGTGAATCCATGTTGTTCGACACGAGAGCACCGCAGCAATAACTAATGTGACTTTGAGCCTAACGTTAACGTTAACTTTAACTTAAACTCACCCACGCGCAAAAAAGGAACAATCCACACTAGTGTACCAATTTGTAACACAATTAACTAGTAATCGACTAACTTATATACGAACGGAGAAACTATTTACAAAAACCAGGCATATTCGATTGAACATATGCGCATAAAGTCCCCATATATATATATATAGATATATATGTTCGTTCGTGTCTAACTGCAATGTTGACCTTACTAATTGACTACTGAAACAGTTATCGTATATTAATTATATTAGAAGAAACAGTATTTTAAATTTGTTATGCGTCTGAGTAGGCGAGCACGTTTATCAATGTTTATCACGTGCCCAATCAAATGCATCGGAATTGTTGTTAATTTTATTGGTAGAAGAAATTAAAATGAACGAAAAAAATGATCTATGATATTGATATATTATGTAACGACAAAAGACCTGTAAAGCTGTAACCATACACACGTATATATGTATTTAGATTGCGATTTAAGTTAGCCAATACTCTACAATTGCTTTTGCGACCGCGACATTTTGTTAAACCTTTTTTCGTCCCAATAACTCACTCGATTTATATGTAAAGAAACACCTTAATTTAATTTACTTGCCACACGATTCACATTGCTATGTGGTATTCTGTGCTTCAATCAATACTTTCGATCAAAATAGAAATTTACTTTTTAAAAGTATCAACAAAAAATAATACAACAAAAAAACCAAAAATACAATTATTTAAAAAACCAACATAAAACAACCCTTTTTCTTTTTTTTAATATTTGGGGGAGCTGTTTTTATGAAGATAGTTTTTAATTTAATTAATCTTATTTAAATTAATCTTTTCAAATATTACAAATATTTATTAGACCTGAAAGTAAAATCTGATAAATTATCAGTGATGATGTATAACAGAGAATTATATCTAAACTTGTATGCATACCGTATGCTTTATTATTTACATAACATGTATTTCAAGCCGTAACACGAAGTTGTGCCATATCGAGTTTTAAAAACTTAAGTTTTTTTTATTTATAATTTATAATTTTTTCAAACATTTTTTACAGTGCTATGCGTTATAACTGGAAATTAACAGACTGGAACATAACAGAGCGCGTAAGAACCGTAGTGAAATCGTTAACAGATACTCTTTGAAAATGGAAAAACATCGATTGTGCCCGGCCTAAGACCGATAACACCAATATTTTGAAACATCGATGAAATGCATATTAGCATCGATGGTTTTCCACTTCTAGTTTTCTCACCTCTAGCTACGCGAATTGGAAAAAATGTTTTGTTTTTTGTTAGTTTTCGGGGTAAATGTGATTTTTGTGCATTTAACATCTGGTGAGTGTATGTTTCATTGAAGGAACGTGAAATATGTTAAGCTGGAAAGCCGAAAAACTCCAAGATAATAAGTTTTTCATGATGCGCGCGGATATATGTGTGTGTTTGGTGCACTGCTAGTGCATGTGACTGTGGGTGTGTGTGTGCGTGCGGTTTGTTTTGTTATTCGATGCGCAAAATGGAAATATATAATTAAATTAAGCATTTCCTAGCGAAACCATGCTGTAATAAAGGCCCTTGAAAGCCACACTCAAATCGACCTAGAAAAATCATTATTTGACTACACAAGTCTTGTATTTATATGAGCAAATATGTTAAGGACACCTCTGTTCTGTTCAATTGTTAAAGCCATATTTTACCAATAATTCCAAAAGTTGTTTAAATAATGCGAGTGGCTGTTTTGTTTATACATTTTTGCTTATATAAAGTTCTAGAGAAATTTGTAAACCTTGTCTTTTTATATCCTTAAGCAACAGGCTTTTACACTGTTGGTCTAATTGGGAAAAGTTACTTATTCTTTGTCTAATTGGCAAAGAAATAGAAATGAGAAAAATTAATTTCTGCAAGTGCATCACATTTTGTGTTGTTTCTATAAATAATTATTGATAATTACATTGTTTACGGTAGAAACATGTTCGATAACCGAGATGGAGCTTCAGTTTGTATGGCATTCTGTTAACAGAGGGTTCTATGAACACTTTTGTTTACATAGCGTAGTAGGTAAATTAATTTCATCCATTTAAAATGGGGTACATAAATAAACAATTCTATGCTAATAACGTTAAATGCTAAAAATAAAATATATTTTTACATTTATTCTACAGTATCGTACAACGGAATATAGTTTCTATTAAAAGTAAAAAATGTATGAAAAGTTGAAAATTTGTTGCATACTTTTCGGTTGTTTTGGGGCTATGTAAAAATCATTTGGTAGATACGAGATCTTAGTAAAAGAACATTTGACTATAACCGGGAATATACTGATTAAGAACAGACTTTTTTTCCGAATGCAACATAGAAATTGTAGGTATCAGCAGCATAGTAAAATAATGGTCCAACCATTCTCCATCGAATTTCACAGTCCACTGAGCTTTGGCATAACCTTTGTAAACAAATATTGCAATGAAGAAATAGCTACTTGTTATCAAAATATGTTATAGTTTCTTTATTTTCAGCATTGTGTTTAGGGTTGTCTTATAAAACAATCAAGTGAAAGAAATAGAAGTGAATTATAATCGTAAAACGCTATGGTTTTACTGGGTTTGCTCTACAGGTTGAATTTGCAGCTTATTTGCAATTTAGTTATTACTCTTGTTTCCTTAGCAGCAATTTAACCTTAACGTTTTGTTGCGTTCGCAGAACAATTCCATTTTCAAATGTAATGTCGTTTAGAAAAGTTATGGGTAATATTCTAAAATTTCTGATCACCGCCGCCAAGAGTACTTTGATCTCCAGAATCGCAAACTTCTGTCCTATGCAATTCCTTTGTCCTGCACTAAAGGGTACAAAGGCGAAAGGATGACGATTCACGGTGTTCTCCGGCAAAAATCGATCTGGTTGAAAAGTATTCGGATTTGGGAAATGACGGGGATCCCTCATTATGTCAAAGATGTGTACGTTTATTTGGGTATCCTTGGGCATGACTAAACCATTCACCACACACTCTTCCATGCATCTCCGTCCAATGAAGGGCACAGAGGGAAACATTCTCAGCGACTCCTTGATCACACACTCCAAATATACAAGTTCGTTGTACTGGAACACACTAATCTCATCGCTTTCCTCGTGAAGGCTTTCCACCTCTTCAAAGCATCGGTCTTGGACATCCTTATGAAGAGCCAACATCAGTAGAGTAAAGATTAGGCAGGTGGAGGTGGTGTCGTATCCCTCAAACATAAAAGTGTTGACCTCATCGCAAATTCCTTCATGATCGATCTGACCCTCTGCTTCGGCTGCCAAAAGGGTATCCAACATCGCATATCGCTGCTTTTTGCCAAAGTCATCCGATTGGCTGAGTTGCTTACTCCTGAACAGAGTTCTCCTTTTCTCGATGATCCGACTGGAGAAGTCGTGGGCTATCTTTAGATTATCCACCTGCTTTCTATAGTCTCCGAAGAGATAGAAATACACTATGTTATAAAAAAAGGGATTGCATAACCGTTGCTGCATGACCTCTTCTATGGCATGAATCGATTGGCGATATCGTAAGCCCTCCGTCATGTCATCTAATTTCACACCCAGTGCAGTTTCTGCAATGGAATTATTAGTTTTGTAAGTTTAATAAAATCGAATGCTAAATGGCTGAATCTAATTATATATTGCACATGTTTATCTATTTGAGTTGAGCTGAGATAGAGGGAAATTATTTGTATTAAAGTATTCTGCTAGTCATGCTGATTTCGATTTTTAAAGCTTGCGATTAATCTTATATTAAATGACTATACTTACCGCAAACATTATTTAAAGTGAACTGAGGAATGACCTGATTAAGCTCTAATTCCTCATTCACGCTTTGATTGAGGACTTTTGTAAGCTTATTGCACTCTTCCCTATAAATGAATATGATTTAAAACAATACGTTTTTCCCTATTTATAATAATACTCACTTGAATATAGTCAGAAACGATTGCAAAACATTAAAATGGAAAGCAGGAGTCAGGGCCTTCCGTCTAGAGTGCCATTTTTGATCTGTGTTTGGATTATTATGTATTAAAAAAGTATGACAATTAAAGTATTTAACATACCTGTGCTGGTCAATAGGCCTTCTCTTAAAAAAGGTTTCAACAGATCGTATATCACATTTTTAGTGATCAGCTTGGGGCTCTGGAATATTTCCTCTGCTTCTTCGGCCCGAACGACATTATACATTGGTGCATGAAAGAAATACCAAAGATAATTCCGTCCTTTAGCCTGGGCACAAGCATCTCTCATGAAGTTAAAAATGCTGACTATAAAATGTAACATCTGAAGATATATTTAATATAAGTGAATTTCTTTCACTTACCAGATGTAAAGCTTAGGAGGTCAAAGTTGTTTCCGAATCGGGTTTTGGTTTGTGTTACGTAAATCTTGTCTTCCAGTGGACTACCATCTTCAGTTCGAATTCGCTTACAGAGACTTAAGAGGAAGTAACTCTGATTGAAGTGCGACCACAACTTGCAAGTTAGAAAAACAAGCAATGGAACTGATATCAGGACCTCCAAAATCATTTCTATGCTAAACGATTATTCTGGCCAGACCTCTCAATACCTCACAGATTAAGCTCTGATCTATTAATGGCAAGCTCCGATTAGAAGCTCAGCAATCTGAACAAATGTTTATTTGCCGTATAATTATTGTGTACTTAGTATAAAACATGTTCCCATTGGGTAATGGATGGATGGGTACATTATTTGATTTGCTTTAAGTAGAGTTCAGACCTGCTTTTATATTCAAATATCTATTTTTAGCTATTAATAGACTTTATTTTCATTCTTTCAAGATTTTACAGATTTAAACATTTTTGGCAAACCGTTTTTCTTATTTTATAATCACTATTTAACCCTTTTCGCCAATTTCACTTTGATATTTTGTTGAGTGCGTAGTACAATTCCGTTCTCAAAAGTAAGATCCTCCAACTGAGTAGCAGGCAGCAGCTTGAAGTTCCTGATCACCGCTGCCAGGAGTACCTTCATCTCCAGGATGGCGAACTTCTGACCAATGCAGTTTCTTTGGCCAGCACTAAAAGGCACAAATGCAAATGGATGACGGTTCACTGTGTTCTCCGGAAGGAACCGTTCTGGCTGGAATTCATTTGGTTTCGGGAAATGACGAGGATCCCTCATAATGTCGTAGATGTGAATACTGATCTGGGTGTCCTTCGGCATCACCATTCCATTCACCACACTCTCCTCCACACACTGTCGTCCAATGAAGGGCACCGAGGGAAACATCCTGAGTGATTCCTTAATCACACACTCCAAATAGATCAGTTCGTTGTACTGGAACACACTGATATCATCGCTGTCCTCGGGAAGATTTTCCACCTCTTCAAAGCATCTCTTTTGGACATCCTCATGTAGGGCCAACATCAGTAGAGTAAAGATTAGGCAGGTGGAGGTGGTGTCGTATCCCTCAAACATAAAAGTGTTGACCTCGTCGCAGATTCCCTGATGATCGATCTGACCTTCTGCTTCGGCTGCCAAAAGGGTATCCAACATCGCATATCGCTGCTTTTTGCCGAATTCATCCACTTTCCCGAGTTGCTTTTGCTTGAACTGCTGCCTTTTGCGTTGAATAATGCGACTGGAGAAGTCGTGAACTATCCGAAGTTTCTCCGAGTGTTTGCGATAATCTCCGTAAAGAAAGAAGTACCAGTCGTAATACATCAGCGGATTGCAAGCGCGTTGTATAAACACTTCTTCAAAGGCGTAAATGGCTTTTCTGTATTCATTGCCCTCCGATATGTCATCCAGCTTCACACCCAAAGCGGTTTCTAAAAATGGAATATATAATAAACTAAACTCAATATTACATCTATTTGATATAATGTAGGCTTTACCGCATATATTATTTAAAGTAAACTGTGGAATAATCTGGTTCAGATCCAGATCGCCTTCTATATTTTTGTCTAGAACTGTTATAAAATTGTTGCACTCTTCTCTGAAATAAAAAATTACGCTTATAACAAACAAACGTACAATTTAGGCAATCAAACTCACTTGAAAATAGACAAAAACGATTGCAAAATATGGAAATGAAAAGCAGGGGTCAAAGTCTTTCGTCTGGAGTGCCATTTATGGTCTATAAAAATTGAACATATTTAATAAATTTAATATATACTTCTCAAATAAGTATACTAACCTGTGCTGATCAGGAGGCCGTCACCTAAAAAAGGCCTTATCAGGTCATAAACCGTATTCTTGGTTAATAGCTTAGTGCTTTGCAATATTTCCTCCGCTTCTTCGGCCCGAACCACATTGTACTCAGGTGCGAATAAAAAATACCACAGATAATTCTTTCCTTCGGCTTTGGCAGTTGATTCTCGTATAAAGCTAAAAACACTTGCTGCGTTATAAATTAATAAATAGTCTCTGTGTAAATAGTGTCATTATCTACCAGGTGTAAAGTTCAGAAGATCCAAATTGTTGCCAAACCACGTTTGGCCGGGAATCACGACCACTTTGGTCTCCAGTGGACTACCGTCCTCCGTTTGCACGCGTTTGCATAATGAAAGAACAAAGTATTTTTTATTTAGTGCATTTAGCAAATGCCAAAGGGCTAATAACAAAAGTGGAGTTACCAACAGAGCAAACAACATTTTGTCACTATTTTCTACGGCCGAACCGTTCTTCATCGAATTTCACAGTCCACTGAGTTTTGGCATAAACTTTTTGAACAAATATACCAAGAAAGAAATAGCAGTTTGTTATCAGAATATGTTATGGTTTGTTTATTTTCTTCATTGTGTTTGAGGTTGTATTATAAAACAATAAATTGAAAGAAATAGAACTCTATAGGCAATTATAATCGTAAAACAATTTATAATAAGCTTTTGTTTTTACTCTTGTTTCCTTCGCAGCAATTTAACCTTTACGTTTTGTTGCGTTCGCAGCACAATTCCATTTTCAAATGTAATGTCGCTCAGCAAAGTTATGGGTAATATTCTAAAATTTCTGATCATCGCCGCCAAGAGAACTTTGATCTCCAGAATAGCAAACTTCTGTCCTATGCAATTCCTTTGTCCTGCGCTAAAGGGTACAAAGGCGAAAGGATGACGATTCACGGTGTTCTCCGGCAAAAATCGATCTGGTTGAAAAGTATTCGGATTTGGGAAATGACGGGGATCCCTCATAATGTCGAAGATATGAACATTTATTTGGGTATTCTCGGGCATGACTAAACCATTCACCACACACTCTTCCATGCATTTACGTCCAATGGTGGGCACCGAAGGAAACATCCTCAGCGACTCCTTAATCACACACTCCAAATAGATCAGTTCGTTGTACTGGAACACGCTGATCTCATCGCTGTCCTCGGGAAGATTTTCCACCTCTTCAAAGCATCGCTTTTGGACATCCTCATGAAGGGCCAACATCAGTAGAGTAAAGATTAGGCAGGTGGAGGTGGTGTCGTATCCCTCAAACATAAAAGTGTTGACCTCATCGCAAATTCCTTCATGATCGATCTGACCCTCTGCTTCGGCTGCCAAAAGGGTATCCAACATCGCATATCTCTGCTTTTTGCCAAAGTCATCCGCTTGGCCAAGTTGCTTACTCCTGAACAGAGTTCTCCTTTTCTCGATGATCTGACTGGAGAAGTCGTGGGCTATCTTTAGATTATCCACCTGCTTTCTATAGTCTCCGAAGAGATAGAAATACACTATGTTATAAAAAAAGGGATTGCATAACCGTTGCTGCATGACCTCTTCTATGGCATGAATCGATTGGCGATATCGTAAGCCCTCCGTCATGTCATCTAATTTCACACCCAGTGCAGTTTCTGAAATGGAATTATTAATTTTAAGTTCATGAAAATTGAATGTTAAGTGGCTGACGTTGATAATTGAGAGCACACGGTTATCTAATTGATTGAAGCCGAGATATAAGAGAATTATTTGTATTACAAAATTCTGCTAGTCATGCTGATTTCGATTTTTAAAGCATGCGATTAATTTCATTTTAAATGACTGGACTTACCGCATACATTATTTAAAGTGAACTGAGGAATGACCTGATTAAGGTCTAATTCCTTATCTACGCTTTGATTGAGGACTTTTGTAAGCTTATTGCACTCTTCCCTAAAAGTAAAACATATTTACAACAATACGGTCTTTCCCTATTTATAATAATACTCACTTGAATATGGACAGAAACGACTGCAAAATATTAAAATGGAAAGCTGGAGTTAGAGCCTTTCGTCTGGAGTGCCATTTTTGATCTTTATTTGGATTAATATGTTTAGAGAAAAGTATTAAAGATAATTAAAGTATTTAACACACCTGTACTGGTCAATAGGCCTTCCCTCAAAAACGGTTTTAAAAGATCGTACACCATATTTTTAGTGATCAGCTTGGGGCTCTGAAATATTTCCTCTGCTTCTTCGGCCCGAACGACATTATACATTGGTGCATGAAAGAAATACCAAAGATAATTCCGTCCTTTGGCCTGATCACAGGCATCTCTCATGAAGTTAAAAATGCTGGCTATAAAAATGTAACATTTAGAGACATTTTTAATATATTTGAATTTGTTGCACTTACCAGATGTAAAGCTCAGTAGGTCAAAGTTGTTTCCGAATCGGGTTTTGGTTGGTGTTACGTAAATCTTGTCTTCCAGTGGGCTGCCATCTTCAGTTCGAATTCGCTTACAGAGACTTAAGATGAAGTAACTCTGATTGAAGTGCGACCACAACTTGCAAGTTAGAAAAACAAGCAATGGAACTGAAATCAGGACCTCCAAAATCATTTCTGAGCTAAACAAGACTTCTCAATACCTCACAGATTAAGCTCCGATCTATTAATGGCAAGCACCGATTGACTGATATTCTAGTAAGCGGAACAAATGTTTTTTGCCGTATAATTATTTTTGCACTTAGTATAAAACATGTTCCCATTGGGTATTGGATGGATGGGCATATTATTTGAGTACAGACCTGCTTTCAATTGATTTTTTATATTCAATTATAAATTTTCATCTATTAATAGACTTTATTTTCTTTCTTTCAAGATTTTAAAGATTTAAACATCTTTGGTAAACAGTTTTTCTTATTTTACATATCACTATTTGACTCTTTTCGACAATTTCACTTTGATATTTTGTTGGGTGCGTAGTACAATTCCGTTCTCAAAAGTAAGATCCTCCAACTGAGTAGCAGGCAGCAGCTTAAAGTTCCTGATCACCGCTGCCAAGAGTACCTTCATCTCCAGGATGGCGAACTTTTGACCAATGCAGTTTCTTTGGCCAGCACTAAAAGGCACAAATGCAAATGGATGACGGTTTACTGTGTTCTCCGGGAGGAACCGTTCTGGCTGGAATTCATTTGGTTTCGGGAAATGACGAGGGTCCCTCATAATGTCGTAGATGTGGATACTGATCTGGGTGTCCTTCGGCATCACCATTCCATTCACCACACTCTCCTCCACACACTGTCGTCCAATGAAGGGCACCGAGGGAAACATCCTGAGTGATTCCTTAATCACACACTCCAAATAGATGAGTTCGTTGTACTGGAACACACTGATATCATCGCTGTCCTCGGGAAGATTTTCCACCTCTTCAAAGCATCTCTTTTGGACATCCTCATGAAGGGCCAACATCAGTAGAGTAAAGATTAGGCAGGTGGAGGTGGTGTCGTATCCCTCAAACATAAAAGTGTTGACCTCGTCGCAGATTCCCTGATGATCGATCTGACCTTCTGCTTCGGCTGCCAAAAGGGTATCCAACATCGCATATCGCTGCTTTTTGCCGAATTCATCCACTTCCCCGAGTTGCTTTTGCTTGAACTGCTGTCTTTTGCGTTGAATAATGCGACTGGAGAAGTCGTGAACTATCCGAAGTTTCTCCGAGTGTTTCCGATAATCTCCGTAGAGAAAGAAGTACCAGTTGTAATACATCAGCGGATTGCAAACGCGTTGTATCAGAACTTCTTCAATGGCATGGATAGCCATTCTGTACTCATTGCCCTCCGACATGTCATCCAGCTTCACACCCAAAGCGGTTTCTGTAAAATAAATATTTGGTAAATTAAATAAAGTATTAAAATAATAGTTGAACTTACCGCATATATTATTTAAAGTAAACTGTGGAATAACTTGGTTAATATCCAGCTCTCCTTCTATATTTTTGTCAAGAACTTTGAGTAACTTGTTGCACTCTTCTCTGCAATAAAGCCCAAGCTTCTATAAAATAAAAGTGATGTTGGGTAATTTTTACTCACTTAAAAATAGCCAAGAAAGACTGCAGGACATTAAAATGAAAAGCCGGCGTCAAAGCTTTTCTTCTGGAGTGCCATTTATGGTCTGAAAATCATATACTAATTAGCAAACTAATATAACACTTTAAAACTGATGACTAACCTGTGCTAATCAGAAGTCCGTCCCCTAGAAACGGTCTAATCAGTTCGTAAACCACATTCTTGGTTATCAGTTTTGTGCTCTGAAATATCTCCTCAGCTTCTTCGGCCCGAACTACATTATACATGGGTGCGTATAGGAAATACCACAGATAGTTTCTACCTTTGGCCTTGGCAGTTGATTCTCGTACAAAATTAAAAACACTTGCTGTAATACAAATTCCATTAATATATATATTTATATATAAAGAAAATATAACTTACAAGGTGAAAAGTTGAGAATATCCAAGTTGTTGCCGAAGCGAGTTTTTCCGGGCATTAGGACCACTTTGCTTTGCAGTGGACTACCATCCTCTGTTCGCACTCGTTTGCATAATGAAAGAACAAAGTAAGTTTTATTTAGATGTTTTAGCAGGACCCAAAGGGCCATAAACAAAAGTGGCGTTCCCAGCAGAGCGATACACATTTTGTCACAAGTTCCTCTATCGATCCGTTCTATAAGGGACTTCACCACCCACTGAGCCTAGGCATTAATTTTCATCAGACTCATGGCGATAATCATAATCATTTGTATATACTATATACAACTGTTCAAAACAATAACAATCCAGCTTTTTGTTATCAGCATATTTTATGGTTGTCTGATTTATAATTAGGTTCCAGTAGGTTAAATATAGTTTTTATTTTTAGATTTGTTATTTTAAGTTTTTTGGGAGTATATTTCCAAAAAGTTCAATATTATTATTGCTTATTATTCCGGGTAATCGAAGGTTGGGTATAAAATAGTCGATCATTTTGATTCTTATCTGTGAATTTAATTTAACTTGAACGCTTTCGTTACTACACGCGATTATTAATCCGTCAAAGGTTAATTATTCACGTAAGAAAAAGAATATAAAAGTCGATGCTTAGTGTTTAGAATAATTGTCACCCTGGCGACTTCAGAAAAAACTTTGAACTTAAAATGTAAAACGTTACTAATATGACAACTCAACACAATAGATTTTTGTAAAGTAAACCTGTTATAAATGACTAGAAATGATGCAATTGGCATGTTAATACATATAAATATGATCGTCATGCTATGAAAATTAAAGCGATACGGTAGAATGGACACGCTTTTATTTTGGATGACGATACCGAGTATTATTTATTATTATATTAAATATATTATTTATGCTCGTCGAGGAAATATAAGAGGGTAATAACCAAAAATTGGGCAATGATTTTAAGTATATAGCTGACGAATATTGTACAGTATAAGCTTTTAGTTATCACAGCAATAAAAACGAGTTTAAAGTGCTTGCAATTCTCTGGTTGATTTCAAAATATTAAGAATTTTGCTTTACACGGTCGATTTTATGACTGCTAAAAATAATGGCATCATCCATTAGCCAACAGCATCCTATCAAAACGAATAGTAATTGATTGGAGCACTTAAGAAATATCGAAATTGTTAGAAAAGCATTTGAAATACTCCATATAGGTTTACGATCATTTAATTTCCCCATATGACCATTCCAGATTAATAACCATTTCTCGGCATGACCGTACACAGATTTCCTCCCAGGCCAAGCGGCATATTTTCCCATCGTTCCAACTATGGAACTGGCTGCAGGAAAAAAAAAAGGAAACGAGCAATGTCGCATCAAAATGCCGCATTGATTAAAGTTTGATTAGCTGCAGCTTGGCCAGATCGCATTTGGGCTTGAAGAATTAATTTGAGCCAAGTTTGTAATGCGCGCGCAGAAATGGCAATGCCAGTCAAGAGCAGCAGTTGCAATAGAAGTAAATGTGGAAAAAAATTAAATCACAGTAATTACATTTTCCGTGGAAAAGGCAGGAGATGGACGCGCAAACATGTTGCACGACCAGTGCGTGGACGTGGATGACAAAAATAGTCAATGCAGCAGCAGCAGCAGCAGTGGCAGTAGCAGCAGTCACAACAGCAACAGCAACATCAGCAGCAACAGTCACAGCAGCAATCACAACTGCATTTGGGCATGAAAAGTGCTGTGCCGGCGCAATTGGATGGAAAAACTTGCCCTGTCTCTGTTTCTTGTTGTTATGAACAAATGTTATTGCAGCGGCAACATGCTGCATGTGTTGCTGGCACAGGAGCAACATCGGCTGCTGGCACAGCAGCAACTGGGCTCATTAAGATGCAAAAGACGTCGCTTGCCGCCTTTTTAGAATTACTAATTGAATCGACGCGATCAGTGGCAATTGCAGCGGCATTGGCCACAAAAACCAACAATGAGCAACAACCATTGCGGTGGCGGCTTGAATGTTTGTTGTTTCAACCGCTGCCGTTGATGTTGATGCCCCGCTACTGTTGCAGCTTCCGCTGCGGCGTGAATATACAAACATACGCGTATACGCCTGCGTATTTATTTATTTATGTACGTGATTCTCGGCGAGGTTTGCGATTCTTTTAGGGCATGTCCCGAAGCGAAATTCTGAGCCAAAGCAGAGCTATCCGTATATTGCCGATGCACATCCGCAATCCGCTTGGGGAAATGGCTAAAATAACAAAAGCTGAATTACTTGGGAACCCCGTGCTCAAAGGCCCCGACATTAAAGTTACGTATAAGGCTTAGCTAGTGCCATTAAAAATAAAGGGGGCTTCTAAAAGTGAAATGGGTAATTAGATCTTAATTGTGGAATCAAAGTGGAAATGATCATTATACCCGTTACTCGTAGAGTAAAAGGGTATATTGTATTCGTGCAAAAGTATGTAACAGCTAGAAGGAAGCGTTTCCGACCCTATAAAGTATATATATTCTTGATCAGGGTCACTAGCCGAGTCGATATAGCCATGTCCGTCTGTCCGTCCGTATGAACGCTGAGATCTCGGAAATTTTAAAAGCTAGAAGATTGGCATTTTGCATGCAGATTCTAGGAGTTCCTACGCAGCGCGAGTTTGTTTCAAAATGGTGCCACGCCCCCTCTGACGCCCACAATCGCTTATATACGATTTTAAAAATTTAAATATTTCGGAAAAGTAAAAATGCAGTTTTATTGTGTTTCAAATCGGACCATTCGTTAAAAAGTTATGCGTGATCAAAGTTTCTATCTCCATCTCCCTCGCACTCCCTTTACCTGAGTAACGGGTATCTGATAGTCGGGGCACCCGACTATAGCGTTCTCTCTTGTTTTTAATTCAATTTAAATGTATAAATTCTGTTTGTAATATCTTTTTGTTAATTAAATATTTAAGACATCTATATAGGCGATAGTTAAATTGAAACTAACTGCAAATAGTTCTAAGACATCCTTATAGCAACGCTTTATATCTTAAGGTTATCGACCTTATTGGTTTAGCGTGACAAAAATATTCACCACTCCTTTCTGCCACATTCCTTAAAATGTGTTACACCTATTTTCAATCATTTTCCACCATCTTTTCGCAGAAATTTTCATGTTTTTAATGCTGACCTTACTCGTCGAATTTCTGGCTAAGCACAAAGTCATGTTGCAACATGTTGCTCGGACGCTGCAACATTTGGTGTGCGGCAACATGATTTTTCAATTATTGCAGCGGCATGTAAAATTTGTTGTAAGCGCTTGCATATTTACTTTAACACCTCGTCCCGGTGGTGTGGTTCCTTGTTTTTTGGTTTATTTCCTTTTCTTGCGTGTATTGCTGACAGCAGCCGATGGCGGCGACGAACAGGCGACGCTTGTTAGCCATGTTGCCTGGCCTGACACTTGTTGCACGGCATTCTGCCCCAGCAACCTTTTGCGGTCGCAATGCCCCAAAGATCGCATGTACCATGGGCAAAGTCAAACATTTTTGGCATACAAATTTATGGCTATATATTGCAGTATGTTAAGCTATTGGCTTTAACTATCTATATGTAAAATCTTCATTGTTTAAACTACAAAACTATATTTTCTTTATTCATCGAAAATATTGTATCAAAAAACCTTTATTTTTCCATTGAATCAATGGATCTATGCTCATTATAGACCTATTTTCAAAACATTTTTATTTCACAAGGGAATAAAATAACTACTTAAGCTTGTCCATAAATCATCCCAAGATGTTTGAATGGACACCACTTATTATTAATTGTTATTAATTCAGATATTAACTTAAAAACTCTTTTTTAAAATTGTATTTTCTATGTTTAATTCCAATATTTTATTACTGGTTAATGTGTGCCAGGAATAGGAATCCTGGCCCACAGTTCAGGGTTGTTCTTGGGTTGCTTTTGGCGTTGATGTTGCTGCTGTGTCGCTGTCGTTGTCGTTGGCGTGTGTCTCTCGCTCCACTAAACTTTTAATTAAAATTTGGTCGTATCACAGTGGCTGCTGCTTCCTTTTGTGGCTTGTTAATGTCACCTGAGGGAGACGGGGGTTACCACTGATTTTTATGCAAATTTGCCAGTCTCGTTTTTCGGTCACCAGGCAACTTGAGGGGTTTCCAGACGAGGGCTCGCTTCTGGGATCGCAACCGATCGGATCGGGTTCCCATGCCGAGCTGCGTTCGTCATTAAGTTGTCATGACCATAATCATCTTTTAAGACGGCCATAGAACAACTTTGGCGTCTATAGTATGTTCTCTGCAAAAAAAATAAATGCATCAATAAGGCAATTGGCATTTCCCGTCAGATAAAAAAAAATGCTACTTTTAACTGGGTATTTATTGGAAATTGCACAAGAGATGCCACTTGCCATTTAATTTATATCTATTCATATCCTTATTAATCCATAAGGAATTATTTCCAATAAATTGTACGATTTGAAATCATTAAAACAACAAATAAAGATAGCAAAATTGTATTAATACTTTTCACGATCAACTTTATTTTGTTTGCTGTACATCAAAGTTAACGTAAATTGATAGGAAAATTGGAAAAGGCCTGGTTTAAGTTTCCATTTTGGCGTGGGGCAGGTGCAAAAAGATATAAGGACTCCCGTTTGGATGTTGCATGATCCGGTGTGGCAATTGGCCAAGATTTATTGACATAATGAAGACTAATTCGCGCGTCTGTGGCCGAGCATTTTGACAATTATTTATGTTGTATTAAGTTGTTTGGCGGCAGCGCGTGTAACGATGTAATTAATTGCCATGGATTAGACACTGCCGATGGCCGATGGCAGAAAAGACCTGGTCACGCAGCCTCGGCAAAAGGCGGTGCTGCGGAGGCACAAAACCGGGGCACAAACGGAGCAACTCAGCCAGGAAAGTTTAAGCCAAAGCCGCTTAGGCCCATAAACAACCGAGTTTATGCGCGACCATCTGCGACGATCCGAATTGGAAGCGGAATGGAATCGAAACACTTCAATTGGCCATTTGGCTTTGATGCGATTTTAAGGCGATTTAAATATGAATATCAAAAAATTTGCCGTCATCAATTCTTACACTTCATAACGCTTAGATATTGGGGAATTTTTAATAGATTTGGTTAGATATATCTGTGACATTTTAGTACTTATATTTTAACGCTGACATATCAAGAGCAGGAAAAGACCTCTGATAAGAATACTTCATGAATTTGCACTTATGAAAACCTC